GAGGGGCAGGCTGCGGTGAGCGGCGGGCCCCGGGGCCCCCGGGGCGGGGCCTGGGGACGCGGCGGCCCCGGCTGACTGTGCACCCCACTGGCCCCCAGACCCTGCGTTCGTGGCCTCGGCCTACATCCCCGAGAGCCTGGGCAGCCAGGAGGGGGACGACGACAAGATCTACTTCTTCTTCAGCGAGACGGGCCAGGAGTTCGAGTTCTTCGAGAACACCATCGTGTCCCGCGTCGCCCGCGTCTGCAAGGTGAGCGAGCGGCCGCGGCCTCGCCCTCTGCAGTCTCCCTGTCTTGTCTGCACATCAGAAGAGAGTTCGCAGAGCTTGCAGGGGAGAGGCGGCGGCGGTGATGCGGGCGGGCCGGGCGGAGCCCGCGGGCGCCCAGGGGTGGCACCGGCCGCCCCCGCCCCGCGGGGGGCCGTGCTCGGTGACCTGACAAAGGTGGTGCAGGGCCTCGCGGCCTGTGCTGTCCGCAGCCTGTGCGCCACGCCTGTGTTCCTGGAAACTGCCCAGAAGCGCGGGTGATGACCGGGGCGGCCGACGTGGCTGCGTCCGCTCGCGGGCGAGGCCGGGGACGCGCCGAGCTTCTCCCCGTGTGCGCCCGTCCCAGGCCCTGAGCCCGGCGCTCTGTCCCCAGGGCGACGAGGGCGGCGAGCGGGTCCTGCAGCAGCGCTGGACGTCCTTCCTGAAGGCCCAGCTGCTGTGCTCGCGGCCGGAGGACGGCTTCCCGTTCAACGTGCTGCAGGACGTCTTCACGCTGAGCCCCAGCCCCCAGCACTGGCCCCAAACCCTCTTTTACGGGGTCTTCACCTCCCAGTGGTAGGCGGGGCCGCGGGGCCGGCGAGGGCAGGGCGGGCCGGGCTGCGCCTGGGCCCTGCTCAGCGGCGTCCCCTCCAGGCACCGGGGCAGCAGCGAGGGCTCAGCCGTCTGCGTCTTCACCATGGACGACGTGCGGAGGGCCTTCGAGGGCCTGTACAAGGAGGTGAACCGCGAGACGCAGCAGTGGTACACGGCCCCGGGCCCCGTACCCTCGCCCCGGCCCGGCGCGGTGAGTCCTGCCCCTGCTCCCGGGGCCGGGAGGGGCCTGGCTGGCGTCGCTCAGCTGGGAGTCTGTGCTCCCGCCTAGAAGGCGGGGACAGAGGCCCAGGCCCGCTGGTGGACATGCCCAGAAGGCGGGGACAGAGGCCCGGGCCCGCTGGTGGACGTGCCCGGGAGGTCAGAGGCCTTCAGGCAGGCGCGGCACCCCCCAGCCCCTCCCTTCGGGCTCCCCCACTCGCTGCAAGCACCTCGCTTCCTGGGGGCCGGGGCCCGGCCGTGGCGGGTCGTCAGTCGTCTTCTGTCCTGTCAGCCGCGTGGCGGCCCCTAGTCGACCCAGCAGATTTTGTGGGGCCGTCCCAGGGGACAGGACCTGAGGGCGCAGGGCCGGGGAGGGTCTGGGCAAGCAGCGTAGTTCCCTGGCGCCCCCACACCGCCCAGCCTCGTGCCTCGGGGCTGCCCATTTTCCCCCAATCCCAAAGAACTGCGTGACCGTGCAGGCCCTGTGTGCTCCACACCTCGGGGCGGGAGGCCCCCTGGCATCTCCACTCTCGGTTGTGCAGTTTTTGCAACTCTTTCTCCCAAGGATGGTGCTGGCTAGGAGCCGAGTAGAGAACCCTGTGCCAGCAGAGAGTCGGGGAGCCCCGGGAGCTGGGCACCCGCACTAGCCCTGCCCTCCTGAGCGCGGGGGCTGGGGGCCGCAGGAGAAGGGGCGTGGCCCGCGTTTTGAGGCTCGCGGAGGGTACGAGCGAGGGGTAGCAGGCAGGGCGAGGCACACAGGCGTCTGGCCCCCCCCGGCCCCCCGCCGACCTGCGAGGCTCAGACAGGGCCCGCCCCGGCCGTCCACAGGGCAGGCGGGGCCCCGCCCTGCCTGGGCCGCCGCTCACGCGCCCCTCCCGTCCAGTGCATCAACAACCAAGCCCGCGAGAAGAGGATCAGCTCGTCCCTGCAGCTCCCCGACCGGGTGCTCAACTTCCTCAAGGACCACTTCCTGATGGACAGGCAGGTGCGCAGCCAGATGCTGCTGCTGCAGCCCCGGGCCCGCTACCAGCGAGTGGCCGTCCAGCGCGTCCGCGGCCTGGACCGCACCTACGACGTGCTGTTCCTGGGCACCGGTGAGTGGGGCGGGCAGGCCCCCGCCGGGGCGTGGCCGGCAGGCGGCCGCAGGGCCTGAGCGCTGCCCCCCGCAGGTGACGGCTGGCTGCACAAGGCGGTGGTGGTGGGCAGCCGAGTGCACGTCATCGAGGAGCTGCAGCTCTTCCCCGAGGGACAGCCGGTGCACAGCCTGCTGCTGGATGCACAGGGGGTGAGCAGCGGGGGTGCGGGCCGGCCCCGCGGGAGGGAAGGCCACGGCAGCAGCCGGGGGGCGCGGGGCGCACGCGTGCCCACCCTCAGCCGCGCCGGCCGTGTGTGCAGGGGCTGCTCTACGCTGCGTCCCACTCGGGCGTCGTCCAGGTGCCCGTGGCCAACTGCAGCCTGTACCGGAGCTGCGGGGACTGCCTGCTGGCCCGGGACCCCTACTGCGCGTGGACCAACTCCGGCTGCACGCCCACCCGCCTGCGCCAACCTGAGCCGGCCTCCAGGTGAGGGGCCGCTGCCCGCCCGCGCTGTCCGGCCTCCCGGCCCGGCGGAGTCCCTCGCAGCCCACCTGTGTCCGTGGTCAGCATGATGGCCGGAGTCCCCTCGGACTCAGGAGACCGTGGCCCGCCTCTCTGCGTGGCTGGTCGCGGGGAGGCGCTGGCCTGGCCTGTGGCCATGGTCAGGCAGTCAGAAACGAGGGCCGTGCGCCTTGGCGTCCCTGCGGACTGGCTTGGCGTCTCGAGTGTGCATGCAGGAAGAGGTGAGCGCCCGGGAGGGGCCCTGCCCGCCTGCGACCCGGAGCGCGCCCGCTAGGGTTGGCACATGTGCAGAATAAGCCGAAGTGCAAACTCGCGCCACGCGGACCCGCCCCGTGGCCCGGCTGCCAGGCCCCTGCCCGGGCGCCCAGGCTTCCTCGGCGGTGGCAGGGACGCTGCCTTGTGGCCGTCTCTTGCTCCGTGAGAGGCCCCCACGCACCCTGTTTTGAGAGACGCGCACAGGGGTCCGGCGGCCTCCCAGTTTCTCTCAGGCTCGCGCTGGCTTTGTTGCTCAGGGAAGTTTTGCCCTGACTTTTGTTTGAAAATAAATGCTGCGCACACAGGCGGCTTGGAGGGGGGCTGGCTTGGAGGGGGGCTGGCGGCGCCCCGTGTGCGCCGGGCCGGTCCTGGCTGCGCCAAGCGGGGAGGTGTGAGTCCGTGGGGGCTCAGGCCCATCACAGCCTCTCTGCGGTCCCAGGCTGTGGGTCCAGGACATCGACGGGGCCAACACCGGGGACCTCTGCAACGTGACCAGGCCCTTGTCTCGTAAGGCGGAGGGTGAGCGCCTCGTGGGGCGAGGGAGGGGGGCCTCTCTCACACCCCCGTCCCCCGGTAACACAAGCAGGCCCCTGGGAGTGACCTCATAGTCCCCAGGTCCCCAGACTGGTGGCCCTCGGACCAGTCTGGGCAGGCGGGTGAGCGGGCCCCACGGGACCCGGCCCCCTCTCCTCCTCTGCTCGCAGGTAACAAGTCTTGCAAGCAAGTCCACTTCGAGCCCCACACGGTGAACACCTTGCCCTGCCCCCTCCTGTCCAGCCTGGCCAGCCGGCTCTGGCTGCACAATGGGGTGCCGGTCAATGCCTCGGCCACCTGCCACGTGCTGCCCTCTGGGGACCTGCTGCTGGTGGGCAGCCAGCGGGAACCGGGCGAGTTCCAGTGCTGGTCCCTGGAGGAGGGCTTCCGGCAGCTGGTGGCCAGCTACTGCCCAGTGGTGGAGGACGTGGCAGCCGACCACGCCGACCAGGGACGCAGCGTGCCCGACATCAACACGTCGCAGGTGAGCGCTCCGGCCGCCGGCCACGCCAGCTGGGGCGGGGGCCGGTCCTACTGGACTGAGTTTCTGGTGATGTGCACGCTCTTCGTCCTCGCCGTGATGCTGCTCGTCTTGTTCCTGCTCCACCGGCACCGGGGCAACATGAAAGTCTTCCTGAAGCAGGGCGAGTGTGCCAGTGTGCACCCCAAGCCCCGCCCCATAGTGCTGCCCCCCGAGACCCGGCCGCTCAATGGCGTGGGCCCCCCGAGCATCCCGCTCGACCACCGAGGCTACCAGGCCCTGTCGGACAGCTCCCCGGGGCCCCGGCCGGTCACCGAGTCCGAGAAGAGGCCGCTCAGCCTGCAGGACAGCTTCGTGGAGGTGTCCCCGCTGTGTCCCCGGCCACGGGTACGGCTGGGCTCCGAGATCCGGGACTCGGTGGTGTGAGCGGACGAGACGGCCACCCTGGCCCGGAGCCCGAGCACCAAACCCTCAGCTGAGCTCTGCCCCTGCGGACACACGTGGCACCTGGCCCCGGGGCGGCAGAGCCGCTGCCCGCGGTGGCCACGAGCCTGCGCTGGCCCGGCCCTGGTGCAGACTAGCCGGGCGCCACGCAGGCCCAGCCGCGTCTGCGAGAACCAGGCCCTTCGTGGAAACTGTGAAGGCTGAGGACGGTGAGGAAAGCAGCGGTGGACACTCTCGGACTCCCAGCAGCCGGCTCCTCCCCGAGCCTGCTGCCAGCTGACCTTACAGGGGCCGGGCCCGGGCAGCCCCAGGGGCCTGCTGTGCCGCCCCGCCGCCTCAGGGACAGAGGACTGGGTTGGCATGCGGCCTCACCTGGCCCTGAGCTCCGACCTACCTCCCGCCGTCTCTGACCCGTCGGCCGTGGACACTGCGGGCCTGGGGTGACCGTTCGCAGCGTTCTCGTGGTTCAGGGAAGATACACTCCTGCCCTCCTGCACCCCAGCCCAGGGCTCCCCATCTCTCCCCACATCCTCCCTCGTCTTGAACTGTCACACCTTGTGTGCGCCCCTAAAAAATACACTGCCCAGGACTGAGCACTGACTTTATGTGGTTTTATATTTTTTTTTAATAAAATGCACTTTACCAGCTTTTAAAAATAAAATCTAAATGAGTCATTGCCCTTCCTCAAAGGAGTGTGGCTTTCTGAGGTTGGTCTAGCTCTGAGTTTTAGGGGATGTACGCCCCCACTTTCCAATGGTGCAGCCCTTTCCCAGGTTGGTCTAGCTCTGAGTTTTAGGGGATGTACGCCCCCACTTTCCAATGGTGCAGCCCTTTCCCAGGTTGGTCTAGCTCTGAGTTTTAGGGGATGTACGCCCCCACTTTCCAACGGTGCAGCCCTTTTCCCTTTTTGGCACCTGCCAAAGGTGGAGCCTGCACATGTTGGTGGACAGGGCACCCCCCTCTACTCCACACCCCAGCTCAGTCCGGGGTCAGGGGGAGCGCTGGGTCGTTTTTTCCAACGCCTAAGTTTATGTGTTAAATGTGACACAGTTGACTTTTTCTTCTGGCGTGGGGCCTGCAGGCCACCCTCCAACGGTCAGGCTGCCCAGCGGTGCGCACCCTGGGGCCCAGGCCGTTGGGTTTCCGGTTGGCGCCTCTGGAGCCCACCTATTCCCAGAGGGGCCGCCGGCGCCACCCAGCCCTTCCAAGCCAGCGTGTGCCACGCGCAGAGTGCAAGCCCTTTATTGCGATCAGCAGACAGCGATGGCCACGCGAGGAGAGGCAGGCCCCGGCGTGGCGGCCCCTGCCCAGGCCGGGCGCGCGCCAGCTCCGGCGGGCCTGCTGGGCGGGCAGCACAGGCTCAGCCCTGGCCACAGCTCCGCAGTGGACGGCTCTTCACGGGCGCTGGGACGAGCTGCGGCCCTGGTCACAGGACGATCTTGAAGGAGCTGCGTGAGGCCGGAGGGGCGGGACTGAGCCGCCCGGGCTCCAGCCCAAGCCCCGCCCAGCAGGAAGTCTGGACCCAGACCCGCCCATCGGGGCTGGGTAAGGCCAGGAGCGCCCCACCTGGCAAAGTCTGGGGACCTGGAGATGACGTGCTGGAACTCGGAGAGGTTGATGGTCCCGTCCCGGTCAATGTCCGACTCCTCCAGGATCTGGAAGGGAGCCCGTCAGGCGGGAGCCCCCACCCTCCCCTGCACCCCCAGCCCACCGCTCACGTTGTCCACGAGCTGCTTCATCTCGAGGGGGCTGAGCTGGGTGTCCTCGCCCTCGCCCGTGAGGCAGTTCACCAGCTGGCTCAGGTCCTCTCTGTTCAAGGTGCCGTCGTCATCGAAGTCTGGAGCAGACACGGAAGCCGGGGTTACGCGGCAGGGGCGTGCCAAGCCACCACTGAGCAGCCGCGGGGGCGGGCCGGCCCCATCTAGGCCTTACCGAAGATGCGGAAGGCGTAGTGGGACTTGATGTCTGGGGTCGCCGTGTCGCTGAACACACTGAGCAGGTCCAGGAAGTCCTCGAAGCTCAGGCTGTCCCTGGCTGGGGCCGTGGAGAAGACCCTGCAGATCCTCTCCTTGAAGGGGTTGGCCTAGACGACAGGGCCGTGAGGGGCAGCACACTCCCCAAACCTCCCCTTGGGGCCCCAGGCAGAGCAGACCTGAGAGCACCCCAGGAAGGAGGCGCCGGGGCCAGCCCCGTGCTAGGCTTCAGTGGGGCCGGGAGCAGCCTCTGGCACAGGCGCCTCAGACCTTGATAGGGCGACTCCTCAGGACACAGCGGCCCTGCACCCCCAAGAATGTGCCCCAGGACCCAACCCCGGGGTGAAAGCACCGTTCTAGGCGGGGCCCCGCCCCAGGAAATGCGGGCACCAGGAAAGGAAAGAGGGGAGTGAGCAGGCCCAGGGAGGACAGGCGGGCGCCGGCACCTTGAGCTCGGGCAGGCCCAGGACCTGCTCCAGGGGCACTCGCGCCTGCAGCGACTCCTCCACACCGCGTCGCTCCTGCGGAAGCAGCTCACAGAACCTCCGGTGGGCTCTGGCGGAACAAGGGCAGCCTGTGGCCGTGCTGGGGCGCCCACCGCCTTCCCAGGTCCGTGGCACCCCGCTGGCTCCCCAAACCTGCCAGCAGGCCGCCTGAGCCCGCCTGGGACAGCCGCCGGCGCCTCGCCTGGAGGCGCTGGGGAAGCGGTAACGGTTACGGGAGCACCGGCCACTGGCGGGGGCGCCGGCCGGCTGC